AGAGCTAATGCAATTAAAGCTTCAATCATGAAACAAGATAGAGACAGGTCTACTGACCAGCTAGCTACCAGACATGTATTAACAAAAGACTAAGGAATTACTCAACCTACTGGCTACTGTCCAGACTAAGAAACATTTTCCACATTCCGTTCAGATTTTCTTGAACAATAAAAATAAGTATTTTTTTAGCAAGTTTATAAAAATTACAGTCCCAAATGTTATCCAAATTGGTGACTGAAAACAACTTCAAATGCACCTCTAGAGGAAATAACTAGTTTCACTCTGTAGATGTTTTAATTTTTTCTTTCTTTTTTTTTTTTTATACATTTAATTATGAGATAGCACACCCATTAAGTTTTCATTGATGAATGTATTTTAAACTAAATGTTTGATGTCCAATTTCATTCATTTGAGCTTGTTTTTGCTTTGTTAATTCGTAGATCCAATACAAACAACACAATAAAATTAACAATTTTATTTCTTCATATTAATGATTTTTCAACTTGTTTAATTTTGTGAAGGAGGTTTAAATCACTTAGCTCGCATGAATTTTGTTTTAAGCTCACATGGCTATGTTAAAACTGTGGGATTGAATGTCTTTAAATTTATAAGATATAAATTAGTGGCATTTGATTTAATAAACACAGTTCATACATTATAGCAAGCACTTGCTTTTAGCATTATTCTAATTTAAACATTTTTCCTCTGCCTTGGGATTCTGTTCTCTCTCTGTAGAGGACAAGAAAAACAAAGAACAATTAGTTTTAAGTAAGTTATATAGATCTTTGAATTTACAATTAAATGATCAGGTAAATTTGTTTTCTAGACTGAATCTCATTTCAGTAAACTGAGTGATAAGAATTGTTAACAGTTTTATCATAACACTGAACTAATCAGCTTCATGCCATCCAACACAGAAATCTGTTTTCAATAATCCAGATATTGAGAACTAATAGCATTAGTTTTGCTCCCTTTCTAGTTAGAAAACAAGGCATTTTAGTCACCTTGGAAAAACCAATTTAATTATAACAAAACCAGATAATGAAATAAGAATTTTTTACACCAGTGATTGTCTTATTATCAAAGTTAACCCATCTATTAGACTATAGCAAAGGTTTGGAGTATGTATTATATAATGCAGTCACACTAACAAGTAAAACCCAAATATTATAGAGATCTTTGGTTTAACACAACACATACAGATGTTGAAGCTTTGGAAATTGGATCTGTCACATTTAAAATAGTTTCTCCACAAGAGAACAGTACAATACAATAACTTCCACTCAGTTTAAAAAAAAAAAAAAGAGGGGATATTGTAAGATAAAGTTCCAACATTTTTTTTTTCGGAAAAGTACAATGGTGTACTAAAAAGGTATGATGTTTTGTACAAAATTAGAAATTATTCCAAATTCTAGTAGGTAACATTATATGGAAAGGCCTGTCATTTATTTCAACTAGGATTTATTTTCAGAGAAATAACAATTAGTTTTTGAGAGAAACCTTTGTGTATTTGCAAAATTTTTCAGTTTACATTTAGTGTGATGTTTCTGCAGCTCTGGTGTACATATTCCTATGGAAATATGTGATCAAGAACACTAACAACCAAGATTATAATAGCAAATCTATCAACATGCTATGCTTTTTTGAAAAATGTGGCTACCCACTTCTCTTCTTTATCACACTAGAGATAATGTACATACTAACAATAAATGTCCAAATTTAGTTTCCAGAATTTGCTTAGCTTAAATCATATCAGTAATTCTAACACCAACACCATAGACAATTCAAAACTTCCAACTACATGCATCCAACCTCACTTCAACCAAGGCACTCCTACTTCCACTGATCATCGACATATTCCCCTTATGCTTATGTTTCATCCATTCAACACACAAATAACACGTATATTGTTTGACAACTTCCACATCATAACACAGAATATCATTGGTTACATGTTCCCTAACAAACCTGTAATTTCTTATAACACTAACATGAAAGATTTACTTGTCCATAGTAAACTTTCGAACAATATACAGCTATCTTCTGCTACTTAAGTTGTCAGAGGAGCAGATGCAACACTTGCCCTTACATTGATCTGTTAGAGGCCCTAAATCAATGTATTCTGTGAATTGCCATTTCACCTGTACATATAAATGTTTATTGTATTATATGTAACAACTGTGACCAAATCTAGGTAGGAGAAACCAGTGGAATGCTCACTAAACGTACACGAGAACACTTAAATAGCATCTTGATTAAAGATCAAGAGAAACCTGTAACTGGTCATCTTCTTCAGAATTTTAAATTAGTTGCTTTATGTCATACCCCCTCCAACACCAATAAAAGAACCACAATCAAAAAAGAAATAATTTTCAAATTGGATTAAGTCCTTTGGGTATTAACAAAGGGTTCAGTTTGTTATAATTTTTTTGAATACCCTTCTTTTATTATCTTAAAATGTTTAAGTTATTTCCTTCTTTGCTATGTAAAGTTGTTCTATATATTTCTAATAATTTTTAATCACCAGCTTTATTATATTGTTCTTTTACTGTACTGTGTAATTTTCATAGTTCTATCTTGTGTTACATTCTCTTTTTGTGTATTTTTTCATTTCAAAACATTCCTTAACCAACAGGCTTGTTACTGGCTTGAAAAAAAAGAGTGTTTGCTGGAAATGCCATTAGGTATATAAATTATTACCATACTTTTTAATGGTGATTTTTCTCTGAAGGTCTATATTCCTATATCAGATAACTTCCTGATCAAGAGGCCAGTAAAAACTTATTCCAAACACACTACATTGATTTCAACCTTTCAGATAACACATCTCTATCAGGACAACGTTTGTGTGCAAAAACTTTTACCCTCTTTTGTTTATAGTCTTTACAAAATTTATTAAAATATTATAAACTCGCATCATATTAATCATTTGGTCATGATTCAGGAATACCAATTATCAATAACTCCTAATCAATGCGAGCTACCTACACAATGATCAGAACTAAAAACTAACACAGTAGGTAATACATCCCTTTCTGACAATATTTTAAATAATTCTAGTATAAATACAAAAACCTGTATGCAGTTTGTTTGACCTCCTTGCTTTTGGTAAAATAACTTGATCATTTATCTTTGACAAGTTGAAATATCCCAATATCCAAATAACTACCCTCATCTTTTAACATATTATTGCTCAGAGTCAGAATTAATTCAGCATTTTCTCCAAACATTATTTCCCCAACTACTTGTATAGAAAGACTACCTCAAGCAAACAGGGTTACCTAATCTTGACTATATCAAAAATCAAGCCTATTAATTTAATGTAATTATAAAAAATTCCCAATATTTTGTTACTGAGAACATTTTATTCATACTTTAAGTAAAAACATAAAGAGAAAATTTCAAAAAGATCTACAGAGTATTTCCTAAAGTTAAACTTTGTATTAGCCCCTTCTACTTAATAACCATTCTAACCTACCATTACTAAAAACAGGTTGCTCCAGTATACACAACATAATTTGAATTTTTTTTGTTGCTGCTAAAAAACGTGTTTACTTTTATCAATTATAGCATTCTGAAATTTAGGACATAGTATAAATTTTTATTCTGATATTGTGTGCTTCACAATAATTAAAGTATAAAATAATCTATCAGGAAACTTAACTTGAAATTCTCTAACTCCAATTCAATTTTCAAATGCACCATAACCTTGCATTTTATCTTTCTTTCCCAGTACCAATACGAATTTTTAAAAAAGATATTGTTTCATCCAATTACTTTAGGCACAGCCCTTCTGTTTTGCACCCTAGTGAACCTAGTATTATTCTCCTTTCCCTGTAACTCCCAATATCAAGCTCTACAAAACGAGTACAACGTTACGATCAATTACCGATTAATTAGTTTCATGACGGCTAAAATTTCTTTAACTTTTACATCTTGTTCATTGTTGGAACTGCAAATTATTTCAAATGTATTTGATAACGATATAGAAATCTGTAAACTAGCTTTAGGCAAGAGCCCAAAGTTAACGTAAAAATATTGGATGGGAATTTTTCGTTAACAGTAACACTAACAGCATTACTATCAGTATCAGATTCCTACGTCAGTGTTCTAGAAATTTCTACAGTCACCGCACTTTTCAATATATAACAAACTTAGGCTTATGATATTATTATACTAGTAGTACACTAGTGCCCTAAGCCTTACGTTTACTTACTTGAACTCCATGTGAAGCCCATACTCCCCCATCGTATCCTGCGATTACAGCTAATCTACATTTAATTTGGGAGCAAATTTGGTCATCGACATAGGCTTGCCAAGACATTATAGTGATAATATTACAGATACTTAATACCTATTTGAGAAATAAGTGCCTAGCCCGCTTTCTTTGATCAACCCTATTTTGGAACTTCCCTCTCGCTTAGGATATGTAGTCCCCTCTTTATCGTCTTTCGTATCACTCCGCGTGTCGACGTAGCCTACTAGACTGTTGTCAAGCGCATATTTCGCATAAAAAAATATTCTAGGTTGGATAGGTGGATTTGTTATAGTGGATGCGAACACTTATTTTATTGGTAAGCAGGCAAGTGGTAACTGTAATACATTATTTGTAAATTTTAAAAGTAGATGATTTTTGAAATAGGCTTCAAAATAATTAAAATGAATATTGGTAAACCGTTAAATATAACGTAAAACAAAACATGATATTTGATGGACAGTACTCATCAATTCCTCTCCCAGTTCCATTGCGTTTACTCTGGAGGTTTTACACTAAATCAAAATACATGTGTATTAGTTCAAGCATTTACCACTGTCACAAAAAAACATAAGTGTCATATTCCTTATTAAGTTCATTTGTGAGCTTAGTTTGTTCTTCGGTGTCATAACCATGTTGCTTATGATATATATTTGTGTTGCTTTGTGCTTAAAAACAAAGCAAAATAAATAAAATAATATATATATATATATATATTCTGTCAATATTTATGTAATACATCATTGTATTAATTGTTATATAAATTATCTAACAAAGGATAATTATTATTGATTGGGCCCATCAATACGTATTATTTTGAAATAATTTAGTCATTTTATTTGATTTTGTCCTTTGCAAAGGATTTGCCCTAGAATTACCGATGGAATACTATCGCTTTTTACACATTTTTTCAAACTATTATTACGTCTCCGTTCGTTAGTTGATTTTCCGTAACTTCGTTCCGATGAAACTTTAGTGACACAAGTCCTTACTTAATAAAACTGGTTTATTCTTTCCGAATACAACTTTACCGATACACTTAATTTCAGCAGTCGCGCTATAACAAACACTATACCTCACGTGGCC